TTTATTTGCAGAAACTTCTAGGTATCTATTTCTCTCCTCAATAAATTTCTCTCAAAACAAAACAATGCTGTTTATTTCAGGATCATGGCTCCTAGACTTCTAATCATGTTGCTGCATTTCCTTCTCCCTGTCAGCTTATTAATTTTTTTTATACTGCAGCAACCAAAAGTAGACATATTTTAACTTTAACCTTCAGAACATAATGAAGAGGTTAATTTATGTCTTTTGCACGCTGTCAATGCATTTTGGCATAAGGTCTATTTTTGTCGTAAGTGGTATGATGCTGTTGATGCATAAAGTTTGCAGTCTGGTAGAACAGTCAGATATACCTCATTGCAGGACTTCTGCCCAGCCAGTACTCCTCCAGTAAATAATTTCTAACCAAGGGTGAAAATCACTCTTTGCTGGATGTCTACTAAAGGACACCTCCTTAAATATTGGGTGTCCAACCTAATCTAAACCAGGCTGTACAAAATGCCTCTGAACATAGTGAAGAGTGAGAATGCATTTCATCCCATGCTAAGATGTGGGATGAACTGCCCTCAAGAGAGGCACTTTTCACAATTTAGTAAGATAAATTGGATAGTTAAAGTACTGGTTTACAGTTAAATGATGGCTGTGCAATTTTCAGACAGCTACTCAAAGTAAAATACATCTGACATGCACTGTGTGCTTTCCTCATTGATCTGAACTCTGTTCCTCGTAAGCCAGAGGAAGATCAGGAAGAATTTTATAGTTTTACCACCTGATACACTTCTGTCCTGTCCCAGCTTAATGCCTTTGTCCATGCTTGCTAGATTAATTATCTTAAACAAAAGTACTGCACAGTGCCAGCTGCAGCAGTGAGCCCCTTCAAAGAGAACCTCTCTCACTGGAGCTTCTTATTTGGAGGTGAAGCATCAGTCAATTACTCTGAATACAGGATTAAAAATGGTTTGTTGTTTAGAAGACATTTCTGCTATTTTCTTATTAGAATGACACTGTCCCTCATGAGAAAAATCTTACTAAAGAAAGGTCAAAGCAAATGCTTGTTGTAGGAACTTTTTTCCTTGCTAATAACTTACCGGGACAAGTTAGATGTTAGAAACAAGCACTATGGCTGGTCTGAACAGTTTGAGAACAAAATTAAGAACAAATACTCATCCATATGAGAAACACAGACCTCTCCCCTAGTAATTTTGGCAATAGCGATTTTAATGATGCACAGAAACTAATTTTAAAGCCAGATAAATTCAATCTATTTTTCACAAGAGAAAAGCAAATAAATGCTAAAAATACTGCTACCTGACATGCTCAGATATCAAATTCCCTTGTAAGTGGTACAGGACCTGTGGAAAGTACTGCCAAAGCACTGCAAATCAGTTCAAATATCAGTCAAGAAATTCTGGGAAACCTCATCTAAATCCTGTTCCTAGAAAGCAATCCACAAAGCTTTGATAATAAAGGTACCTCACTTGCATGGTTCTCTTTGCACTGTGTTGGCTCTGGGGTTTAACTGCTTTCATATCCATGTTTTCTCCTCCCCACTTTCAGATAACTATATAGATATTTTATAATACTCAGTCTTTGCAAAAGAACACAGCAGATCCTCTTAAGTAACCAAAGAGCAAAACTAGAAGTGCATTTCACACATCTTAAGCACAAGTACATCTTCCTTTTAAGAGTTTGTTGTTTTAAATTTGTGTCACTGTCACACAACATGCTAATGGGAAGATACTCTTCAAGCACTGTTTTTAGATATTATACAACAGAACTTCTAATTTCTGACTACAAAGTGCTCTATGTTGAGCATTTAGGGCTTTAAAAGACTGATATTTTGAGGATCATTCACTTGCTGGACCTGAAAATGCCATGCACAACATCTAATGCTGCACCTAAACCTGCAGATCTGAGTTCTGCTCTGAGATGCATTTTATTGCTGGCATTTAGCATATATGTTCTTGATCAAGTTTGTTAGTGATCTACAAATGCCAGTTACATTTACAAACCATGAAATGGACATCTTCTATTTTCTTCCTATCCATACAAATCTTTGTAGATGTAATTCTGTGGGATTTGGACAAAGCAAACAAACTGACTATTCTTTGCAGCTGATGTGCAAGTGGTCAGCTTTGTTTCCACAGCTCCCTATTCCTTACTCCATCTCTATTCCTTACCTCAGAGGGATTTTATGTCACACTATTGGTACAGAGCCTTCTACCATCAACCAATCTCAAATCCTGCTGCTCAGTTTGCTGAGAATGTAGAGATGTCCTCCAAATGCAAATGTCTACTCTCTGGTTTTAGAGTGTTGTAAAACCCTGCTTAGGTTTCCTGAACTTTATTTTTTAGTGTTCTACACTCCAAATGTAGATTTTTGTTATATCTCCTACAGACCAACACTTAAATTTACTGGAAATTGAAGACTTCAGTTCTGAATAGTCCCTCTGGATTGGACTGGCCTGCAGTCACAGAATTATGGAATTATATAACAGCTTAAGTTGGAAGGGACCTTAAAGATCATCTAGTTCCAATGCCTCTGCCATGGGCAGGGACACCTTTCACTAGACTAGGTTGCTCAAAGCCCCGTCCAACCTGCCCTTGAGTGTTCCATGGGTGGGACATCAACAACTTCTCTGGGCAATCTGTTCCAGTGTCTCACCACCCTCACAGTAAAGAATTTTTTCCTATTATCTAATCTAAATCTATTCTCAGTTTAAAACCATTCCCTCTTGCGCTGTCACTACATGCTCTTCTAAAAAGTTCTTCTCCATCTGTCTTGTAGTTTCCCTTCAGGGACTGGAAGGTCACAATTAGGTCACCCTGAAGCCTTGTCTTTTCTAGGCTGAACAATCCCAATTCTCCCAGCCTTTCATCATAGGAGAGGTGCTCCATCCCTCTAATCCTCATGGTGGCCTCCTCTGGACTCGCTCCAACAGGTCAACATACTTTCTTCCTGTGCTGGGGACCCCAGAGCTGGATGCAGTGCTCCAGGTGGAGTCTCACCAGAGCAGAACAGAGGGGCAGCATCCCCTTCCTCACCCTGCTGGCCACGCTACTTTTGACGCAGCCACGACTGGCTTTCTGGGTTGCAAGTGAACATTGCTGGGTCATGTCCAGCCTCTAATTCACCAGCACACACAAGTTCTTCTTGGCAGGACCGCTTTCAATCTGTTCATCCCCCAGCCTGTATTGATACCAGGGACTGCCTCATTTGTTCCATAGTATGAAAACCACAATGGAACAACAGTGGAGCAGGGGTGCAGATGCAATAAAATCTTAGTATATGTTTCAGTTTGTACACCTGAATTGTCAGAACAACAATGCAGCTAAAGAATATGGTCACAGTAATCTGAGTGATCTAAGAACACAGGCATATAAAGCTAAATACTGGAAATTTCTACTAGTAGAGTATGAGGTGCACTAAGCAAAAGCTTTCATGTTCTAAAAATAAAGTTAATTTGATTAACAGATCATGGAAACAAAGATGCAAATGACTAAATTAATTTCCTATTCCTGTCTTAGATGTCTGGTACCTAATCCTGAAGTAACTATGTATTTAGTGCAAGAGCAATAGATCAAAAAACTATTAAAAAAACCCACCAGCAACCCAAATATAGAAAAACAATCAATAATTGATCTGGTTTAATTAAATACCATTCTACTTAATAAAACATTGTCATTCATCAGTTTCAAACCCCAGCATTCTGTGAACTGCTAACCCTTCCGAAGAGGAAGGCATACTTCTTTATTTATAATATACAAATACCATTATGAAAATAATTTGTATGAAGCTATAAACCTGAAATGGACAATTTCATTAGTGCCCTTTTTTTTTAATAGATAAGAAGTGACGTCTAACTTTACTTCCAAATTTTTTCTCTCAGCTAATTTTTCCACTGAAACTATTAGCCAATTAACTGAAAGGAAAGAATTTAAAAGAAAATAAAGCCTTTTAAGAAAACAGAAAACAAGTATTTTATGCTTTAAGAACAAAAACTAAACATGAACTAATACTTCACTCCATCTTTCCTGCTCAGTATTAACAAAAAGCTTCACTATATTTTATGCTAAAAATGTACCTTTCTTTGAGCTGTTTGAATGTTTTTTTGCTTCAGTACAGAAGATGAACCATTTCATTCATGTACATAACTTACTCTTTAAGAGTTTCATTGTTTTGGGATGCTTAAGTAGGACCTTGGATCTCCAGAACTGACTTCTAAGCCATTGCAAGGAACGAGGAGAAAACACCTCACGAAGGATCAATAGACAGTGTGGTCTTTGTAGGAGAATGCTTCTAAGCACAGAAGCTTATTAGTACTTCCCTTATGAGGAAGAAATATTCCTCCATGAGATCCTTATTTGACAATATGGGCCTCTGGCAGGAATAACACTAAAAAGAAAACTGGTCCTACTTACACTGAGCTCTGAGAGAAAAATTAAAGTTTAATTTGTCTCCTGTGTCAGCTCACAGCACAGTGTCACTGCTTACTGAGCAACACCACAGGCTAATACTGTCACCCAAGCTCCCCTGTCCTCAAACTTGTCCTCAATAGTCAGCAGGTCCCTACCCTGACATCAGATTCACTACAAAAAAAACCCAATTAATGGCTCAATTATGCTGTATCATGCAGATCTCATCCACTAACCTTCCACAGAATCTATGGGGTTGCCTTTAGTATGCCTACTCTTACTGATGTACATGAAATGCAGAATGGAGGAAAAAAAATCCAACCTTGCTACCTTGTCACACATTTATTATTTAATCTTTAGTGATTTCACTGACAGAGAAGCCTGATAACTTTCTTTGTAGACTTGATGGGAGAAAGGCAATGTGTCTTCATAGTCATGCAGCCTGCTTAGTTATTTAGGTTTTGTCAGACAGATTTTTGACTGTTTTGAACAGGACCAGAAAAAAAGTTGCTCCCAGTTAGTGCACTGAGAGAAGAACCTGGCTCAGCCCACCCAAGGTAATATTTGGAAAGTTCTATTATCTAGAAAGCACATAAAAATAAACTTGCCTTCCATAAAGATCCTGTTCCAGTAGATTTTTCCAACTTGATTTCCTCCAAGAAATATTAGATTTGATAAAATCAACATTGAAGTGCTAACAGATGCTAGGACAGCATGAAGTCGACGACGAATTCTTGGCGAGAAGAAACGTTCCTGAGGGGTAAAACGAAAGGTGCAGATGAAGTTAACAATCCCTGCAAATTTTCAAGCAACCTTAGAAAAAGACATTGCCGTTATGACAAACAACTTCTATAGAAAAGTTCAAATCCTTATGGAACAGGTTTTAAAATATCTAACACAACTTCTCACCACTGCCATTTAAGTTTGAGTACGACTTCGTGATAAAAAGTGGTGTTGAATCATAGCTGTGGTTGAAAGGGATCTCTGGAGGTTACCTAGAAAAGACATCAAAGCAGGGTCAGCTGGAGCAGGCTACTCAGGACTGTGTCTGGTTGGGTTTTGAATATCTCCGATGATGAAGACTGCACAACCTCACTGGGCCAACCCCCTCACAGTTAAAAAAGATTTTCTTAGGTTAAATGGAATTTCTTGCATTTCAGTCTAAAGCCCACTGCCTTTTGTCCTGTCACTAAACACCACTGAGAAGAGTCTGCCTTTGATTTCTTCTCCCCTACAATTAGGTATTTTATACACATGGATAAGATTCCTGAGTCTTCTCTTCTCCCTGCTGAACAGTCCCAGCTCTCTCCACTTCTCTTAACAGCAGAGTTTCATTCTCTTGGCTGGACTCTCTCCAGTATGTCCACGTCTCTTTAGTGGGGAGCCCAGAACTGGACACATTTCTATACATTTAATGTCTTAATTATTTTCTTATTAAATGTTCTCCTTGATGAATTTTTACTGAGGATGCCAACAGTAACAACATGATTCCAGGGGTAATACTATCCAATAGGTTCCAACATGAAATAAAGCACTTTAGTACACAATATCAAACAACTTCAGAAGTCGTGAATCCTTGATTGATTAATAAGTCATCACTGAAAGATTCTGGAGTCAGATCAGAACTGGTTATAGCAATGACTTTTAAATAGATACATCTAAAAAAATACATATAGACACAATCCCAAATATTTTTGTCAGTGCAAATATTACTGCTCATGTTTGAGAAGCATAATTATCCATTGTAAAGGTTTTGGTACTGTTGTTCTAATGATACAAATGAAGTAGGTCTCTCTCAACTATATACCAGTTTACATTTTTTTTTAATCTGTATTTGGCATTATCACCTGAGGTGTGAGTGCAGCATAGAGACTGCAAAAAGATGGTAAAAGAAGGATGAGAGCTTTAGCTACCTCCAATATTCAGTTGTTAGAAGAAATTTTAAAGACCATTACAGCACTTCACAAGGAAATATTGTCTCATTACTGCACAAGGAAAAATACCTTGTTCATCATGGTCCTGGGTTGAAAACCTCTGTACATAGTTAGTGCTTGAATCTACAAAAGACTGAATGCTTTGTGTGAAGTGATGAGTATTTGCCAGGGCATGGAAACTAGGGAAAGTCTCGGGGGCTGCTCAGCCTCCACGTCACAAGTGATGACGTTGCAGAAAATAAAGTCTTGTGACTGCAGCATCAGGAAAAAAAAAAGAGCAGTAATTAATCTTTAATAGCTACAGCCAGACCAGAATTCACGCTCAGATACCTGAAATAACAGAAACACATGCTCAAAACAGGCCTAAAAATACAGATCTAGAAAATTAAATTGCTAGTTCTGTAAACATCAAAACAATGTTTCTACTGCTAGTGACAAATCTTCAAATAAATTGCAGTTACAGGGATAAAAATACAATTTCAACATATTACTGCAAAGTAAATCTCTGCTAAATTGAATGTTAGCCCCAGTCAGAGCTCTGTCTAGTATGAGTCAGCTTGAGTCAGCACAAAAACGGAGATAAATAAGGTTTAAGGAAAGCTCTGCATGGGGTTGTATGTACAATACAGCAATAGTCAATCTTCCATACGACGCTGTGAAAAACAGTCATGTATGAAAACAGAGACTAAGATTTTTCTCTGAAAATTTTGCATGAAAACTAGGGCACGATAGGAGAAAAGTAGAGAATATAACATAACTGTATAAATATTCACTGACATAGACAGTTTCTCAGTGAAATAACTTTTTCCTTTCTAGTACTTTGCATCCCCAAAGGTGCCCAAGGACCTCCAATACATTCTCCTTCTGACCACACACACACAGAGGACATCTTAAGTTTTTCTCTTCCAGAAATGTATAGATTGAATGTATGGTTGCACATACGAAAAACGTTAGCCATTTAAGAATGTGTGTTCACACAGAGAAAAACATTCAAAATCTTGCTATTAAATCCATGTTAACAACCAGGTTTGAATAACAAGAAGCTATGATCACGCTAGCTTGAACTTTTTTGTTGAGTCACCAAACTTACCTGCTTCTACGCTAACTAATTCTGACTAACCTGCAGCTCAAAAAGAACATAGTCTTTCACTCTCCCTCTGTCTATCAATCTTATTTGTCAACACTAAGGGAAAACAGTTTGAATTAAGAAAGGGTAAAAAATCTTCTGCTCAAACTGTACATAGAGATGGACAACCCATCAGACAGGTGGTGCTGAACTGCATTTTCCATCAACGTACTCATCAGACTCAGTAAGTTTGCAACGTCTGCCTGTTTTACAACCCAAAGGGGTATGACTAAAACAATATGAATAGTTAAAAAAGTTCTACTTTTTTTTTAAATGGAGTTACTAAAAAAATAAATTAAACTGTCACATACAGTACACCACACTCTACAAAAGTGCTGCATGTGAAACAATGCAAGTTAACTGTAGTATAGACCATAAAAGCCTTTAGCCATTTATAAGGTATAAAGGAGCAGTTTAAGGCAGAAACAGTCTAGACAAACACTGAAGCTTTTCTGGATTTTGCTGCAGCTAATTTCCATTAACTTTGCTAGGCATTGATCCAAAAAAGTAGTACACATTTTCCTGACAGTCTTTGATGTAAACACCACTTTTATTCAGCTGCAATGAAGGTAAAAAAAGAGCACATTCTTTAAACATCTCAAGTCATCTAGAAAAAGCTAAATAGGAAAATATCCAAGCAGCTATTGTGAGCAGACTAATACACTGGAAGCATTTTTTAGCCACGAAAAAGAAATGAGGCCGATCTAGATAAACAATAATAAGATTTCTTTTATTTATCTACAAGCATGTAGATTTTTCTGAATGTACAGCAAGTTGTTTACATCAAAGCAAAATTAAAAAAAACCTCTGCACCCACAACTCTTATGTTATTTAATGCTTTTAACAATATCCTCCATTACAGCAATAGAAACAACTGCTATGGATTGGTGGTGTTTCTCTGGATTTTACTGCTCTCTCTTTCCTCTTTTCCTGTCGGAAATAAGGCCACAAGGTAGAGGGGTAAAAGAGCACCTACTGTTAAAATGACAACGAAGCCTTGGCTGAAACCCTTATATTTGCATTCCCCCTCAATGCTCCATCTTGCTTGTAATCTTGCTTCAATACTTCACCAAATTTTACTTTTAGTAATGCCCACCTCCCCACACATTGTGAAATAAAAGGAGTATAGCATTTCAACTACACAAGAAATAGATATATTGTCAAGATGCTCAGCCCAAAGGTATGCGGCATGACATAGAAGGTGACCAATAAAAGGTTGGCTCAGTCTACCTTTCCTGGAGCTGAATGCAGCTTGGGTTATTATTCTAAACCCATTCCTGCTGTAAATGAAGATCAGCCTCAGACATTTTTGCCAGATGTCAGAAAAGCTTCCCTCTACACATCGTTGGGTAGAGCAAAATTGGCTGCCATCAGATCTCTCTCAACTGAGCCTTCTCACTCCCCTTACAAAAATAAATGGTACTATCACTAGCAGGGTAGCTTGACAAGTAAATCTGTGTATGTGTTTGAGAGTGGTGGAGGAAGACAGGCATGAAAAAAATTGAAAGGTCCAAACATTTCCATTCCTAAAACCTTTTCAAATTACACATGCACATCACATTTAGCCTCTAAAACCAAGCCAGAAATGGGAAGCTTGTATAATGGTTGTTTCTTAAGAAAGATAGCTTATGAAGGACAACACACACCAGAACAGATCATTTAGCTTAGAATTAAGAGTCAAGGTAAAGGACATGGAAAAAGTAATTTTGAGTTAGAGAGAAAATACTTATTTCATGTGCTTTGCAATGTAATTACACCACTATGAATGCAAAATATATGAACATGGCAGGAGAAGTGGCTTCAGAGAGCAGACCAAAATTTAAAGAACTTCTCTCTAAGGTGAGTTAGAGCTGATCAGCAATAAATCTGCATTTTTACAGGACTGTGTACAACAATATTATTGAATGGCATGGAAAGATGAAATTGAGGGTCCAGATAAATGCATTTACATCTCCTAGTTAGCGAACAACAGAGAAAATACTTTGGGGAATACTGACCAGGTTAAGTTCTTCCCTTCCATGTGGAAGTTGATAGTGACAGGATGAGCCATAATTAGCGACAGGACAAGGGGGAATCTCTTCAAACTGAAAGAGCATAGCTTTAGATTTGATACTAGAAAACAATTCTTTGCTGTGAGAGTGGTGAGGCACTGGAACAGGTTGCCCAGAGAAGTCAGAGATGCTCCATCCCTGGAAGTGTTCAACGCCAGGTTGGATGGTGCCCTGAGCACCCTGGTTTAGTGAAAGGTGCTCCTGCCCACAACAGGGGCATTAGAAGCAGCTGATCTTTAAGGTCCCTTCCAACCCAAAACATTCTATGTTTCTGTGAAGTTGAGGAGACACCTAAGGCCGAATTCTGTACAGCAGTGAAAACTAGGAAATCCTATACAAAATATCACACTGAAGTCTTTTACAGAAATATATCCACCAGTATTTCTTCAGGGAAACAATCCTACATTTTCCTATAGCAACCATTCCTAAACTTCTTCTAGCAATAGTGGTGGCACCATGAGGATTTGGCATGTCCCAAAGGCTCACTGTTCAGAGGGTTGCTGAATCCAACTGCAGTACCTTGTTCTGGGAGCAGGCCACAGGCATCACACTGGTTTAGGGAGGGCTCAGGAACTGGGGTGCATGTTTTCTACCACACTGCAAACCCAGCCTGATGACGGAGTGTCAAGTAGCAAGAAGCGT